TAACAGAAATACCACAAGTGGATGGCTTTAACAAAGAGAAGTTTATTCTCTCACAGTCCAGTAGGCTACAAGTCCAAAGTCAAGGCATCAGCTCTAAGGGAACGCTTTATCCATCAGCTCTGGAGGAAGGTCTGTGTCATGAATCTTCCCTTGGGCTGGGAGCTTCTCAGCGCAGGAACCTCAGGTCCAAAGGACATGCTCTGCTACCAGCACTGCTTTCTTGGTGGTATGAGGTTCCCATGTGTCTCTGCTCGCTTCTGTCTTTTTAATATCTCAAAAGAGATTGGCTTAAGACACTATCCAATCTTGTATATCTCATCAGTATAACTGCCGCTAATCCATCTTATTAGATCGGAGTGATTGAATTTACAACACATAAGGAAATCATATCAGATTACAAAATGGTACACAATTATACAATACTGGGAATCATGACCCAGCCAAGTTGACAGATACTTTGGGGGGACACAATTCCATGACACATGGCGGGTATGTACCACATTTTATTTATCCAGTCACCTGTTGATGGATTTAAACTGTTTCTGCCTGGTGGCTATGGTGGATAGTGCTGCAGTGAACATGGCTGTATACCTGCATTGGCTGAGCATTTACTACGTGCCAGATCTGGGGAAGACTATCTGCCTGGCTCCCTCTTTTCATCTTGTCACAATAATCCTGTAAGCTGGCTACACTTATCATAACCCCAGATTTTATGATGACAGCCCTAAGGCTAAGAAGTCTAAGAACTTCCCCGGGGTCACGTGGCCCTTGTGAAGGTGGAGTCTGAATCTGAGCTGACATCCATCAGAGCAGGGTTTGTGCTGATGAACACGGAGCTCTGCTGTCTCTCTCTGCATGGCCAGTAGGTCACTCCAAGTCTTCTCAAAGGCCCTGGGGCTTCGTGCATGTTTGGCTCTGGGCTGCTGTAACTGCCACAGGGTCCTGCCTGGTCATCCCTGCTGGCAGGGGCTTAGTTAGTGGCTGCTGGTTGGTGGAGTCAGTGGACGCACAGACCTGAAGCCGCCTGCGATACTTTGAGCCATACAGACGTAGCGCCATGCTGAGCCTGCCCTGTTGGTCATGTGATGGGCAGTACCCGGAATCCGTGGTGCTCACTGGTACCCAAGCCCGACACCAACCACACAGATGCACATGTAAAGCACATACTCATCTCAACAGCCAAGTACTGTATTCACAGCCACATCCTGAGACTTGTGTGCTGATCTGTGCCCTGGACCTCTAACAGACGTTATCTCATTCACCCTCACCACAGCCACTTTAGTTTAGATGTCTTCGTTATTCAGTGGATTTCTTCATGTATTTATTGACACAGCAAACATCCCAGAGGGCCAGAGCTGTGGCAGCCACTGTGCTGGCCCAGGGCACACATGGGGGAGGGGGTTTGCGGGTACCCAGCCCTGTGTGAAGGATCTGCTCATCTAGTGGGCATCCTAGGCCTATGCTCAGTAGAGAAGGAAGCTGAGGTTGAGGAAGAGCAAGTGACTTGTCCAGGACCCCCAGCTGAAGTCTGGTGCCTCCACCCCTGGATGCTCCCAGCCAGCGAGAGACTGCAGAGGGTAGCCTGAAGTCATGCTACGCTGGGCCCATGACACTGACAGGTCAGGGGACCAGCCTGGGCTGCCATCTGCCCCCCTGAAGTCACCAGCCAATGCATGTGATTGAGCTCAGCCTCAGGCCTGTCAGCACATCTTGCCTGCATTGCAGGTCCAGGGAGAGACTGTTCAGCTGCGCAAAGGTCAGTGAGCTCCTCCCGGGTGTAAAGACCCTCTCATCTCTGACTGTTCACACCTAAGAGGCACCTGCAGTGTGGTCAACTGAGTGCATCATCATGGACCAAGTGCCAAGAGCCCCTCCCCAAATGAGTGTGAGTGGCCTGGAGGCTGCCAGCAAGCACTGGCTCATGTTTAGACCCCTGGATTTCTACTGAGGTGTCTACAAAATGCCATGATGAATGCTCACTGCCATCCAGCCACCTTCTTGGGGGATGCAGGAACAGTGGAGGTTGCCCCACCATTGTACATGAGATACATTCCGGACTCCCTCTCATGGCCTGTGAGGCCCTGTGTGCTCTGGGCCTCTGTCTGCTTCGCTGCCTTCATCTCACACCGTCCTCCACCTCACTATTGCTCAACAGGAACACCAGCTATGTTTCAGCTTCTCAAGCACTCCTAGAACTTACTCCAGACAAGACTGTCAAACATGGTTCCAGTCTCTGGAAGTGTCTGCCTCCCCCTTGTTGAATGCAAACCCTGCCAACTACCAAATGCTTTTGGCAAAATATTTCCCCTCTCTGTGCCTTAATTTCCTTCACTGTAAAAATAGAGAAAATAGAAATAACCATCTCATAGGGTTGATGTGAGGATTAAACACTGTTTGTAAGCCCTTAGAATGCTCCCTGACACATAGAACATGCTAGATGAGTGTGAGCTAGTGTATGATTAATCATCCTTCAGGTTTTTAGTCACCCGTCACCTTTCAGTGTGGACTTCCTAACTCCTTCAATTTAACTCCCCACCATACCATTTCCTAGAACACCCTACTTCCATTACATTGGATTTATCACAGTTTCTCTCTTTATATTAATTTCTATACTTGTAATACCCATGCTCATGTCTCTAAATGGGAAGCCTGCCAGTGTTGAACACTTGTACTTGGTACAGTGCAGATGCTTGTTAAATCAAATGAATAGGTGCATGATTTGATGAATCCTAGTGGGAGAGACTTGGGATATACTTAACAGAAGTTTGCAGACAAGTGCTTTTGTATGTATAAACATTCTTATCCTCAGGGTGAGGCTTGTCTCACTCGTTCCTTCCTTCCCATGTTGTTTATTCTGAGCATCGTGCTTGCCCCAGGATCCATGTGTGCTTTGTTATAAACTTTGGACGTGTTGGGAGGCAATGGGGCTGGCTGGGACAGGGCACCTAGGCGTTTGAAGAGGGGGTGATGAAATTCAGTTTGTGTTCGGGAGGAGCAGTATGTCTGCGGTGTGGAGACGGATTGGAGTGGGAAAGCTGGGGCAGACAACGGCCATGATGGCTCCAACCTGTCCTTGGTGGGGCCAGCCATGTGGGGAAGGTACCCGTGGCTGCAGATGACCCGGGTTATATCTTGCAGGATCCTGGAGCTACAGGACACAGGTGACCTTGATGTGCTCAAGCAGAAGTGGTGGCCGCACTCAGGCCGCTGTGACCTCACCAGCCACACCAGTGCCCAGGCAGACGGCAAGTCACTCAAGCTGCACAGCTTTGCTGGAGTCTTCTGCATCCTGGCCATTGGCCTTCTGCTCGCCTGCCTGGTGGCTGCCCTGGAGTTGTGGTGGAACAGTAACCGATGCCATCAGGAGACCCCCAAAGAGGTCTGTGCACGGGCCCTGTGTCCCCATCATGAGCCAAGAGTGGGGGAGTCATATCGGGCCATTCTGTGAGGGGGGTTCTCACTGTTAGTGCGTACCCGAGCCGCGTTGTTGGAGACAGAGGCGGTGTTTTACATTGCAGGGTTGTGTTCTTGTTTCACTGTGTCTTGAAAGCAGAAGAGCAAATGTAGGGGATGTTTCCATGTGCCAAGGTGCTGGTCGTGGCCACTAAAGTCCTATATTTATCTACAGCTCACGTACCCCTGGGCAGCACCAGAAAGCTCTACCTGCCCGGCCCTGCCCATGTGCCTCCACCCTGACCTGGAGAGACCAGCTCTAGGGATAAGAGAGAAGCAAGTTCTTCATGGTTCTGGTTGCCTTCCCACCAGGGCCCTCCACCGGCCCTCCTCCCCTCTCCCTCCTGCCTGGCAGGGTCCAGTCTTCTGCTTGGTCCCTCCTGGGCACACCCAGTGCAGAGACTGTGGTGTCTCTGTCCAGACCTCAGGTCCGGAGACCACTGTCCTCCACACCTGTGCTGACCATGAGCTGCCTGTGCCCCTCAGCACTTCCTTCCCGCGGATTTTTGTTCTTCTTTAAGCTCCATTTCTTTGGAAATGAAGGCTTCCCCAAGGTTCTCTGGAGACAATTCTGCTAAGAGAGGGTGGCAGGGAGTGCCATGTGGTGGTGACACGCAGCCAGACACATGGGGCATTGGCCAGCCACTCCACCCGAGGGCTGTCATTGCATGCTAAACTGCCTCACACTCTTCCAGAACCACAGCCCCACTTGTCAATTCTGTTGGTGCAAACAGATGCAAATCTCAAACAAGAGGCAGGAAAGCAGCCTACATCAGACCCGAGGAGGGTGGAGGCCTGCTGGCGGGAGTGGCACCATAACACCCTTCTCTGTGGCCTAGGTGGCCGTACGGGATGGAGTCCCACAGGGAAGGGCACCCCACCGCACCTGCAGACTGTCTGCGCACACTAGGCTGTGAGCTCTCTGCCATCACACTGTCTCTCACTGCAAGGGCTGCTGCGTGCTTAGCCCATTTGAAATGTTCTGGGGCAGCGCTTTCCTTTTCTGCCTTCTGCGTACCCCCATGCAAGGGAATGCAAGGCCTGGGTCTCCCACACCCTCCAGGGCTCTCTGATGCTCCCTGGACCATAGGAAGGAAGAAAGAAAGAGAGCTAAGGAAAACCCACTTAGAGGAAGAGTTAATGGTCTTGTCCCAAGCTTCTTGGGCTCCTGGAAGCTTTCTATGGAGAAAGTCGCTGTGGGAGACAGCGAGTTATTCTGACAAGCAGTTCTAAGGAAGGGCTGCAAACCAGCTCTCCCCTCCAGCCTGCTCATTCCCAGTCAGCCCCTGCACCCAGGCCACAGCCAGCGCATTTTTCCCTGTTCTTACCACCCATGTCTATGCACAAAAGCATCAGTGGGCAGCCAGGGTGGCTGCACCCGGCAGCGCCAGGGAGGACAGGCCCACTAACAGATCTGCATAGCACCCACTGCCAGGCCTCCCCCCGCCCCCAAGCCTGCAGCCTGATTTCCTTTATGTGAATGCTTTTGGAGTCAGGGGTGGCAAGGTTGTCAGGTGGGAGAGCACCATGCAGTCATGAACCCAAGTCCAAGGTGGCAGGGGCATGAGGGCCATGTGGACACAGGCTTGGACTCGGCCCTCCAGGACATCCTCTGAATGTCAGTGCAGAAGGATGCATCCCTCCTCTAATTTAGAAGTCCATGTCCCCTTATAGTCATGTCCCTTCACCTCCCACAGGCCCAGACTTGGAAGCCCAGAGTTAGTTGTCATGGTGGAGGGAGCAAGGGGGAATGGAGGAGAGAGAGAGAGATTTTTAAGATTTATTTTAAGGAATTGGTTTATGGGATGTAGGTACTGGCAAGTTTAAAATCCATAGGCTAGAAATTCAGGCAGTCTTGTGTCCAAAATACATAAGCCTGGAAACTCCATCAGAACATCTATTTACAGTCTTGAGGCAGAATTCTTCTCCCTCAGAAAACCTCAGTTTTTACCCTTAAGGACTTCAACTGATTGGGTAAGGCCCACCCACATTATGGAGGTTAATTTATCTTCAACTGATTGGGTGAGGCCCACCCACATTATGGAGGTTAATTTATCTTCAACTGATTGGATGAGGCCAACCCACATTATGGAGGTTAATTTGCTTTACTTACAGTCAACTGATTGTAAATGTTAATCACATCCACAAAATAACTGCAGAGCAACATCTAGACCAGTGTTTGGTGCCAAAAATGTGCATCATAGCCATAAAAGTCATCATCACAGACTGATTGCTGGAGAGACAAAGATAGGAAGGCAGAGGCGAAAAGAGAGACCAAGAGATGACCTAGCAGTGAGGAGCAGCCCCTGCTTGCCAGAGGAAGCATCTCGTCTTCCTTTGTGTCCTTTGCATAAGCCCAGGACCTCAGCTATGACAGAATAAGTATACTGGCCCTGCCTGGAAAATGTGGGGCTCCCTGACCTGGCTGCCGATCACTTTGGGCTGGGAAGGGGACTGGTGAGAGGCAGGCGGAAGCTGCACTTTAGACTCATTAGGCTGTTCATCTGAAAGTATGCGGCCTTTCCTCTAGCTCCTTTGGGGTAGCTGAGAAGGGTGACATGGTGAATGAAGGGAACATTACATCTTTTCCTATTTTTAATGGGTTTTTGATTTTCACTGAAATGTCTTCCTCCCCGCCTCCCTTCCTCCCCTATTCATAAACATGCTTATATGGCCACAGCTCCTGTCCTCAAGGAACTTACCACCACCTGGAAAGATGTGGCAGAGTGCCCAGGCGGGCTCTGTGCTGCTGATCAGGCTGTCCTGAGTGGTTGATGGGTGCCCAGAAAGTGCAGAGGCCGTCCCAGCCCAGCCAGGACACGCAGGGCCGTAGGGGTGAGAGTGCTCCTTAGTGAAGACTCCTTTGGGCTGGGCTTGTTAGAACTGAGTCGGAGGATTGAAGCAGTCAGACAGCTGGGGAGGAGATTGGAATTGTATCTGTGGCAGGGCAAACGGCACAGAGGTCAAAAGACACCAGAACACTCCCGGAGCACCAGGGCTGGAGTGTGGGCATCAGGAAGAAGATGTGAGTCAAAGAGGATGCAGGAGGCGGCGGGACCAAGCTCAGAAGGACTGTAAATGCCAGGCCAAGGGGTTTGTTCTCATCTTGTAGGGATAGGAACCAGGAGACAGGTTGAAAACCAGTGTTTTACTAGCAGATCTTTAAAACCTTTGAGGAATAATGACGGCGTTTAATCCAGAACTAGTCTGTGCTCTGGTTGCCGTGTTTAATGGAGCAGCGTTTGCAATCAGGTAAGTGCATCTGGTTAATCGCAGGATGTTTCGTTTTGGGACCTTGGCCATATTTCTTACCTGTCGGGAGCCCGTCTTTGGGTGGAGCTCCCGTCGTATTTAATGGCTCACACTGAGTATCTTCAGAGTACGGATGCTCGTAGCCACCTACTTGAGGAGATGTAGTAATGTGCGTTCAACCTCTTAATATTCATGGGGATTTGAGCTCATATTTTTTTGTAAGGAATCAGGCGATTATGTAGTTAACCAATGCAGGTGAGTGCACTGAGCCCCAGGCATGCAGTACGGAGCCACCCGCTAGATTTATGGGGGACGTGGAGCCTTTGCTCTGGGAATGAAATATTCATGAAATAAAGATGAGAGAGGACATGAGGAGTGAGGGATGAATCATCTGTCACTGGGGTGGGAGCTTGGAATTCATATTGCGTCCTGCCTTGCTTGCTTTTTCCAGCCTCCGCCTCCATTGCAGACAGGAGCTGAGCAGAGGCCAGGCGGCTGGACTGTGGGGTGCAGAATGGCAGCTAGACCATCTGTTCTGGCCAGTGGGCTGGCTTCTTTCTGCACGTCCCCACAACACAGTCTTGCTCTCCATGGAAACTTCCATCCCAGTGATACTCTCTTTTGGCCCACACGCTTCCCTGCCTCTGCCCCTCTGAGGCCTGCTTCAACTCCAAACAGATATTTTCTCTTCTGCATCATTCCTTTCTTTCTTTATACCAATCTCATAGTGTTGTCCTGAGGATTCAATGAGGGAAGGTGGCAGAGCATTTGAGGAAGTACCTGGCCCATGGTTCATGCTTGGTTCATGGTGGCCAGGAGGCTTCTCATTCCCAAGGACGTGGAGATAAGCAGTAAGGCATGTGGGCGGTGGGGTCGGGGAGGCAAATCAACTCTTAGGGCAGCTTCCCTGTGCCTGACAAACTGCATACTCTCCTCCCATACAGTCCTCCTCCGTATACCAGCCTCCTCCCAGAGGCAGGCTCTTCTGAGGGCCCTAGACACTGGGCTTCCAGTGGGTATGTGCAGGAGGAGGGGTTCCTACCAAGCATTTCCCAGAGGGTTTGGGGAAAGAAGGGTGTGTACTCTGAACTCTTCCCTGGACCAGGCTCCTGGTCACTGTTAGTAATTCTCTGAGCCGCCGTTTCTGTCTTCTGTGGAAAACAGGCTGGCCTGACAGCTACACAGCTGAGATCACACAGCTTGGCATTAGGGTTCGGTAGTGAGTGTGTGCTTCAGCCCTTTCCCAGGGCCTTCCAGTCTGAGGGAGCTGAACATTATCACAAACCAGTGTGTATCTCAAAACCAGCTATGACAGAACTTCCTGCCATCCTGGGCCTCCTCTCCTGAGCAGGCACCTCATACAAGTGTGATTTGCATTGCCATTGCTTGTTTACCTGCTCCCCTCTGCATTCCTGTCACTTTGCCTGTCTCTGGAACGGTGGACCTCTCGTTAAAGGTGGTGGATATAACTGAAGAATTGAGCACCTTCCATGTGCCAAGGACCAAGATGGATGCTTTACCAAAAACATCAGCTCCTCTGGTATTAGGTGCTTGAAATGTTTATCGAATGAATGAACCACTCTGGGTGCCTATGAAGAAAACATTATTAATGTGAAATTGTTGTGTGCTCATTGCAGCTGAATCAATGCTTTCAATTCTGGCTGCGCATTAGAG